TTATTAATACAACTACTATGACTTTTACAAGATGTTTGTCTATCTTAATGTATTTAAAGATACAGATATATAATAGTATATTACATATTATGCTTCAATACTAAACACTTTTTATTCAAATAGGCGTGAGGAGGTCGCTGTACGAACGAGACTGTAAACGTAATAAAGAGATAGTACTTAAATATTTATAGTTGTAAAATAAACGCGTTGTAAAGATTTAAATAAAATTTTATACTTTCCTTAATGTTGTATATTTAACCTTAACCTTACATTAATTTTATGCTTTGATGTTATTTTATATATTATTACTAGATGGTACTCGACGCGCTGCTGCTGCAGAAGATACAATTGTGGAAAAATCGTTTTAAATTTGGAGTAGTTATATTGTTATTAGGAATAAATAAATAATAAATTTGTCCGTACGACACGCGCACTACCTACTGTAACTCAATGTACTATGCTTATAACCTTCGCATAAATGCAAGCAATGACTTGACAAAGTTTTACCGCAATCCGATCAACGGTATGGCAGCGCTTGAAATACGAACAAACAAAAAATAATTTTTATTTATTATATTGGACACAACTTAGAAGTATTGACATCTTTCTATTAATCCGCTATCAGCCGCGCATTTTGGTACAATCCAAGATTAATAAACTGGCAACACTGATCACATTGTTTCACTACACAACTTTTGTATGCAAAAAATTCAGACAAATAAAAAAGTAAGAGACAGAATACTACGCCCATTTCAAAAAACACCTCAGTCGGGTATCAGCATCCTGGTGACGGAGAATCCTTCGCTGAGCACCCACGCCCAAGCTACCGTACTGTTCCCATAGCACTAATGACGACACAGACCGACTCATCGACCAATGGCTGCTGAATCCGTGCTACAACAGGTCCCATCCGACGAGATCATGATACTCGGTGATTTTAACGTCCACCACGTCGAATGGCTCGGTTCACATTTAACCGATCATGTGGGGAGATTTGTTTATGACTTTGCCTTGGCATATGGTCTTACACAGCTGGTTTTTTTTTTTTTTTTTTATAGGAGAGGGGGCAAACGAGCATGCGGCTCACCTGATGGTAAGTGACTACCGCCGCCCATGAACAACCGCAACACCAGGGGAATTGCAGATGCGTTGCCGGCCTTTTAAAAAGGAGTAGGCTCTTTTCTTGAAGGTCCCTAAGTCGTATCGGTCCGGAAAAATCCCTGGTGGTAAACTATTCCACAAGGAAGTTGTGCGAGGAAGAAAACATCTTCTAAATCGCACAGTGGTGGACCGCCAATCATCCAGATGGTGTGGATGGTATCGGGAGTTCTGCCGCGATGTGCGTTCGTGAAATTTGGCGGCTGGGATTAATCCGAACAATTCCTCAGAGCACTCCCCATGGTAGATGCGAAAGAAAATGCAAAGAGATGCAACATCTCTTCGCAGTGCCAATGAATCGAGCCGATCGGAAAGGGCTCGGTCGTCGACGATTCGAGCCGCTCTGCGCTGGATGCGGTCAAGTGGAAGGAGCTGGAACTGGGGAGCCCCTGCCCAGAGATGGGAACAGTATTCCATGTGAGGCCGAACCTGCGCCTTGTAAAGTTGCAGGCGGTGTGCCGGCATGAAATACTGTCCCGCTCTGCTGAGCACGCCAAGCTTTTTAGAGGCCAATTTGGCCTTCTCTTCCAAGTGACCACGAAACTGCACGTCACTCGATATGTCGACTCCGAGGATACCGATACTGGCTGAGGCAAGAAGGGGAGTGCCTTGGAACTGAGGAGATACGACAAAGGGGTTCTTTTTAGCGGTAAACGCGCAAACTTGTGTCTTCTGAGGATTAAACTGGACTAGATTTAGTCGCCCCCAATCCGAGACTTTGTCCAGCAAAGACTCGACTTCAGACACAAGTTTGTTCCGGTACTCGGCGACGTTTTCCCGAGAAATATTGGCCCGGCCGGTGTATAGAGCATCACCAGTGCTGTCATCCGCATAGCAATGAATGTTACCAGTTAGCAACATATCATTGATATGCAGAAGAAACAGCGTTGGTGATAGCACACAGCCTTGTGGAACACCAGCGTTAATAGGCTTGTAGTCAGAACATGCACCGTCTACAACGACCTTGATGCTCCGATCTGCAAGAAAGCTGGTGATCCAATTGCACAATTTCTCGGGAAGCCCATAGGAAGGCAGCTTCGAAAGAAGCGCTTTGTGCCAAACCCGATCAAAGGCCTTCGCAATGTCCAGACTAACGGCCAACGCCTCCCCCTTGGACTCTACTGCCTTCGCCCATCTATGGGTCAGGTAGACCAGAAGATCACCAGCTGATCGACCCCGACGAAAACCGTATTGGCGGTCACTAATCAGCTGGTGATCCTCAAGGTACCGGATGAGCTGGCAGTTAATAATGGATTCCATTATTTTGGAGAACAAGGAGGTGATCGCGATAGGCCTATAGTTGGACGGGTCTGAGCGGTCGCCTTTTTTAGGGATCGGGTGGACAAAAGCTGTCTTCCATGAATTCGGGACTACGCCTTGGGAGTAGGAGTACCGGAAAAGACGCGTTAGGACCGGTGCCAACTCCGGAGCACACGTCCTCAGCACAATTGGGGGGATTCCGTCAGGCCCACTCGACTTCTGGATGTCCAGGGAGAGAAGTGCTTTGCGAACTGAGCGCTGTGAGAATAGCACATCCGGCATGGAGCACTCACACCGCGGGATGGTCGGCGGTATTTTCCCCCCGTCATCAAGAGTCGAGTTGGACGCAAAAAGGGAGCCTAAAAGGTCGGCTTTGTCTTTTGCGTCATGGGCCAGTGAGTCATCCTCCCTGTGCAGAGATGGTAGTGATGGCTTACAGAAATTCCCTTGGACAGCCTTGGCGAGAGACCAGAATGCACGGGTTCCCGAAGGAAGGCGAACTAGTTTCTCGCCAATTCTGCCTATGTGCTCTGACTTTGCCTTGGCAATAACTCTTTTGAAGGACCTGGAGGCGAAGTTATACTTCTTTTTAAGTGTGCTGGTGTTTACATCCCGAGTCACCGAAGCCGCAGCCCAGGCTTGATAACACTCCTGCTTACTGCGCAATGCAGTCTTACAGGAGCGACCAAACCAAGGCTGAGATCTGCCTCCGATGGGTACCACAGATGATGGAATAAATAGTTCCATTCCCTGTAGCACCACATCAGTGACAGAGTCAGCAACAGCACTGGGATCATCCGGCGAGAAGCAAACCCGCCCCCATGGGTAGGATGCAAAGAAAGACCGCATTCCGTCCCAATCCGCCGACCTGTAATGCCAAACACGGCGGCAACCTGCAGAACGCAACCGCGAAGGGAGCGTGAGTGGCACCATACTCCGGATCAGACAATGGTCCGAAGAGCCGAGAGGGGCATCGACGGAAACCTGATATCCGTCCGGATGAGAGGTCAGCAGAAGGTCCAACAGGGAAGGTGTATGATCCTCCACATCTGGAATCCGCGTAGGCGAAGTAACCAGTTGTGTCAGACCATATGCCAAGGCAAAGTCATAAACAGATCTCCCTGCATGATCGGTTAAACGTGAACCGAGCCATTCGGCATGGTGGGCGTTAAAATCGCCAAGGATCACGATCTCTGCGGATGGGACCTGTTGTAGCAAGGAATCTGTAGCCATTTGGACGTGGTCGATGAGTCGGTCTGTTTCGGCATTACCGCTATGGGACCTATAGAGGCACCCGTAGACGCGCGGATGGTCGTCGCTGTCTACGCGTAGCCAAAGGATGGACAGGTCCGAACCTTCAAGACTGCCGAGGCGTCGAGAACAGATGTCCTCTCTAACATACACGCAAACTCCAGCCCGAGGCACAAAGGAGTGCTCCAATTTGTACCCCGGGTAGGAGAGATACGAAATATCAGTCGGAGAGGAAACCTGCGTCTCGGTCAAAAAGAGCAAGGCCGGCTTCGCCGTCTCGAGATGGTAGTGGACGGCGTTTAGGTTAGAGTGAAGTCCCCTGATGTTGCAGAAATTCACGGATAGCGTGGCAGGGGTCGCCTTGGTATTGTTGCTCAGCTTGCCCCGAGCAGTTTTGTTTTTGAGCGGAATTTTGCCCCCCCCAGAATACGCGGGGCAGCCTGAGCACCCACGCTCATGATTGGAATAACATGGTCGTGGATGCTCAGCGAGGGATTCTCCAGGGGTACTGGTACCCTCCTGGGGTAGTCTATTGTCTAATTCCGCTACCATGTTGATGGGGGGGGGGGGGGGGAATTGGGCCTCCGGCCACCTGCACTCACCAGACGAAACGCAGAAGCAGAGCCTCTACTTCACGCCGGTATTCTGTGAGGTCGTGGTACCAACCCGGCTCGAGCCGGCCCATACGTGCAACAGCAAAAAACTGCTGCAGGGCTCTACCACCGTTAAAAATAGCTGGTTACTTTGCCTACGCGGATTCTAGACGTGGAGGATCATGCACTTTCCCTGTTGGAACTTCTGCTGACCTCTAATCCGGACGTATATCAGGTTTCCGTCGATACCCCTCTGGGCTCTTCGGACCATTGTCTGATCCGGAGCACGGTGCCACTCACGCTCCTCTCATTTCAAGTCCCGCCGAAACCATGCTTAAAAATATATGATAAACCATAAAAATAAAACAGCCGCGTTACGCGTGCAACTTTCTCAGTTACAACATCGGTTCAGCAGTGGACTTCTAAAAGCTTTAATGGATGGAAGAATGGAATAGATACATGTTTTATTTTTTAAATTGTCTATATCATAGTATATATTTGTGTATAATTTATCTTCAGATTTAATCTTAATCTGATAATTGCTACATCAAAATCACACTATTCCATCCATGGGTTGACTGGTAGACAATGAATATTGGAGGCATTAAATCCGTATCTATCCGTATCCTTTATCCTTTTGTAAAAGAAAATGAAATAAACATTTACATATTAAATTTAAAAAACATTTACTAGAATATTGCTTTATTATTCTGTATGCGGAACAATTATAAAGTTAATTTAGAACTCGTCGTCTGTGAGTGCGGAAGCTCTTCGCAGTTCGCTGTCGGTGGAGCTCGCTGATGCCGACCCGACCCTCGCCACTGTTCCCTCCCTTATATCTTCCTCATCTGCAAATGCAAACAAAAGGCGCGATTTAAAAACATGAAGTGGTCTTGTAAGGGAATCCCTCACACAATTTCGTCCCTTAGGTGTAAGAGGCGACTATGTGAAAGGACAAATCCCATAACTTTCGATAAATAGAGGGATGCCGTGTGGTATCAGATGCACACTAAATGCAGATTAATATTAAAGGTGCGAGTTATCTGACACTGCAATCACCAATCGGTTGTGCAAGTGTGGCGATTTAGGTAACTTCCTACAATAGGAGAGGTCCGTGACTAACAGTGGACTATTTCGAGCTGAAGAAGGAGAAAATACACAACGCGTACGTTATATAAACCACGATCTTTCTACCAGCAGCGCAACGCCGCTTAGAAACGAGGTGAAATATTTGACAGTTTTATGACGAGGCTAAGTTAATTCTTTTAAAAAATGTAAGTAATTAATCTTTCTTTCTGAGATATTAGTAAGGTTTTAAATTATTAAGTTAGAAATTAATTTACGGATTATTGTGGTAATGAGGTTTACTATTTTTACAGGGACTGATCACAGAAACAAGGTGTCAATGATACGGTGGTTTATTTGCTACTGAACATTAAATTACATTTTACCATATTAAAGACCAGACTTTTCTCACAATTACATACGTTTCATCGTACGTACAACACATACTCATTACAATATTGCTCGAACACGGATATTTCTAAAAGTTAAAAAGAATAAAGAACAAACCACTGAGGCATTGTTTCGTGCATTACTTATGTGTATACCTTAGAAACCGATTTTATTTTTAATACAATTTTTCAATTATAATGACATCGTGTAATAAATAACTTCACCACAGTCCCAACTAGCGACATCTGGTGAGCAGAAGGTTATAAAAACATAACCTCCTAGAAATTAAAGAAGGGCCAGTATCGGGACGTATATGTGCTGTAGCCTGTAGCTTCGTACAATCTGTAAACACTAGGAAAGTTAAAAAAGTTTAAAAAGCAAAAATTTGTTTAAAAGTGTTATTATACAACTTGTAAGTATATGAATGCTACTACCTCGTTGGTCTAGTGGTTGTGTGTCCTGGGTTCGAATTCCGGGTTGGGCCGGAAAAAACTCAGTTATTGGGCTTTTCCATCAAGAAACTCTCAGTAGCTGCCCGGAGTCAGGAAGCTGGCGGTGTCTCATCCCCGTGCCGGGTAAAGCATGTAAGCCGTGGTCCCACGCCGGATCTCTCTCTCCGGTCGCGTAGGTTTACCGTCCCATCGGACTATGAGAGTGAGGCAATAGAGAGTGCACTTGTGCTTGCGCATACACTTGGGCACTATAATCCTGTCTTGATATGACTAGTCTCAGTTGAGGCTGGCCGTCATGGCCGAAATTCGGTCTGGAGAACATCATTAAGTATATGAATGACGGTAACCACTGGGTATGAGGTGATCACTACCACGCCGTTTCTAAATGTTTAAAAAAGTTCCGTCAGCTTTCTTTCTGGTTCTTAATAATACAGAAGATTTTCCAAACCTGTGGTAAAATCATAATAGGAATTAATAGATTCTATAATTTTTTTTTTGGTAAATAAATAATTTAATTTTTTTTTTTTAGTAATTGCATAGGAGTTTTGACGAGACCTTGATCGCCGCGCGAATTGTTGCCACTGTTTTATCGTTTAAATAATGGTTTGAAGTAGATTTTGCAACTATTAAATTCGATGGAACAAATGCTCCGATGATGATGTGTAGATAATGTGCCTGCTTGTGCGCCTTAAGATACGTCGTCAAATTGTCAAAATCACCCAAAAACTTCGCAATGAGTCGCATCAACATATTGTAAAGAAGTTTTAAGACAAATTATTAATTAGGATTATTACATAATACTTGACACCGGAAAAAGTACAACCATACAAGTCCATTACCAAAAAAAAAAGAAAAAAATCATACCATGTCCGAGATCCGCGAAGTCTTCGGCTGCGGCTAGAGTACGTGTGCGTGGGCGAGCACGCGGCCAGCGCGCAGACTCCCCTGAACAAACTTTACGTATAAAATATATGCACAACACACTGAAACGCTCTTTAAAAACAGTTTTAAACATAAATATTTAAAAAGGATGAAACGACTTCGATTACGATTAATCGTAATCCAAGTCGTTTCATCCAATTGTTATTCCAATTGTTAATGTATAGCAAAAAATATTTTTCAACCAAATCATCGTCCGTAGCGTCGGAGAGGTTATTTTTTATTAATTCAAACTGAAAAAGGAATTGATTGACGCCTGAAATTGTTAGTTTTATTAAACATAACATTTTCTAGAAAAGTTAATAAACAAACATTTAATATTCCCTAAAATATCATTATTATTTCCTCAGCAAACACTATTTGAATTAGTTTATGGTAATAAACATTACGCTCCTTTATCGATACTAGTATGTTTATTTGAAAATCGTAATCGTAATCGGTAATTGATAATCGTTTCATCACTTGTATTTAATAAAAAAGTTAAACTAGACTATTTTATTAACATTATGTTTTAGCTATAGCAACACTAGACAGCATATTAATATATTCATTCCTTGCTACATATATATTTATCTATGATTCATTCATTCTCCTGATTTTGTAAAGTGTACAAGTGAAATATTATACAGTCCATTATTGACACCTGCATTTTATCCATTTCATTTTACTTAAACACACTATACCCTGTGGTAGGGTTGCCAACTGTCCTGTTTTCCCAGGACATGTCCTAGTTTTTGTAGTATCCTGGGATGTCCTGGATAGTTTTAAGCAGCGTTTTGGGTGATAAGCTCGTGTATTTTTAAGAATCACGGCAATGAAATTAAAGACGAAAGATTTTCTGACGAGATAGACAGCGAACCGATAGTGTCGCGAACTGGCGAAGCGTTTTTATTTTGTTACTAGCTGTTTCCCGCGAATTCGCCCGCGTGTTATTTGAAGTTTTAATTTTTCGCGTGTAACCCTAATTCTTTTTCTAAAATAAAAGTAGCCTAAATTACTGCTTATGACATCAGCTAACTGCTTGTTAAAACCCCATCAAACCATCCAGCCGTTTCGGAGATATGCCGGAATAAGCAGACAGACAGTCGGACAGACATACAGACAAAAACTTTAAAAATTGTATTTTTGTTATTAGTACCGTATATACTTTCATATGCATTTAGTAAAAAGCTGTAATTTTAACATTACAAACAGACACTTTAATTTTATTTATTTGTATAGATATATTAGATGTATGACATCGTTTGAATCTAGTCACATATAAAAAGCGAAAACGAACCGATACTTTTCGGTTCGGTTCGGTACGCAGTTATGTTTGACAAAGCCTTTACTACGTTCTATTTTTAAACTGAATTGTTCTGGTTTTTCCAAATTCAAATCCTTTTTTTTTTAATTTGGTGTTGGCAATCCTACCCTGTGGTGATAGCTTAAGGGAATCTATCACCCCCTTTCATCCAATGGGTATCGTAAGAGTCGACTATAAATGCCAGAAAAATCTTATGTCTTCCAATAAATGGCCATAGATATATAAAACCATCTTATTTACTGTTCCGTTCCGTTATAGCTTATCACAAGTCCACTGCTGAACCTGGGCCTCCACAATGATTAACCATCAAGACACAATTGCTGGAGGACCTCAACACTATGTTCAATGACCTTAATATAATCTCCCTACAGATAAGTCTTAAGATGAACATGGTCATAACAAAGGTCATGTGTAACGTACACCTACGCCGGCAGTTGTCGGAAACTCTAAAAAGTTGTTGACGAATAGTAAACTATATTCAATAAATATATTATACTGTTCTTTTCTATTCCATTCCGTTCCATTCCATTCCATGTCATTCCATCACGTAAGTTTATAAATAAAAAAGATTTTAATAGAAATTATCCCTTTTGAAAGAGCACTGTTGCCTGAGATACAAGCTTACTGCTTAGTTCAGACGCAGATGAAAATATATTTTGTTAAAAGTTTTCTTGAATAAAAAAATTATTACTATCAAAAAAGAGTAGGTATCTAACCATAGAGCTGTGTGTCGGAGAGGTCGGTATCGGAATTGGAGTCGTTGTCGTGGCGCACGTCGTCGAGCGAGTCGCGCGCCGCCATCGCACCGAAAGCGCGCCGCCCTTCGCCCGGACCGCCTCACATTTTGTAAAACAAAATTTCTTTATAGTGTTTTAAATTTTAATTAAAACTTAGTTTTTTTTAAAAATAGCCTTTGCCAACATTTTATAACATAACACAAGTTTTCACACACGAAATTTCGTTCACAGCTATTTTGAGCTGCAAAGCAAGCAAACTCTTACAATAATTAATAAATTACGAGTACAATAATTTCGTTCATTTTACTTTTAAAAAACTTTACTCCCACAGTAGGATTTTGTCCTGTATCGTGGAGGCAGTTTACAAACACAAATTGCACAAGGACAAACATCCAGACCCGGAACAATTATTTGTAGGCCATACAAATACTTGTTCCGTGCGGGATTCGAACCCGCGGCCCCCAGCGCAGCAACTCATTGCTAAGCCACTGCGCCACGGAGCCGTCATGTTAAAATAATAACGAAGCTAACAATGTGTACTGGAATTGAGGACAAAGATGGAATGCCTCGTTTCCAGTAAAAAGGTTTTCCGGTTTTCTACACTCACCATACGAAACACAGCAGCATTAAGCAGCTATATTACGCTGGAATTCTGTGAGAGCGTGGTCCACCTTGTCCAATTTTAATGATAGTTTTTTGTTATGGGTACATCCAGAGTCAGTGTCATGTAAAATAGAACATACATAGCTCAGAATTAGATTACTTATCTTCACGCACAATCCCTGACGGGGTAACCAGAGAGAACAGATCGCCAAGTGTCACGATCCTTACATACCTCTTTCGCTTCTTTCAGATTCATTATCTTCTTCATACATGCACGTCTAGGTATCCGAGTACTCTTGACCCTACCCTCTTCGAGCAATTTGCTCACATGGGCTTCGAAAGTTAGTCTCGGTCTACCGCGACACCTTTTAATATTAACTTTCGCGCTATATATTTTCTTCACCATTCGGTCTTCACTCATTCGCTCAACGTGCCCAAACCACCGAAGCACGCCCTTATCAATTTTTGTGATAAGGTCATCTTTCAAACCTGCCATATTGCGAACCTCTTCGTTTCGCTTTCGGTCGGCCATGGTAAAGCCGCACATTTTACGAAGAGATCGCATCTCCATTGCATTCAACTTGCTTTTATGCTTCTTCTGGCATACCCAGGTTTCGCTGCCATATAACAAAGTCGGTACCAACACTGCGTTATGTATTGCAAGGCGTGCACTCTTCACTACGCCTTGCCTTTTGACTAACGCAGTCAGGGCACCATTGACTTTGTTCCCGGCAGCGACACGCCTGTCCACATCTAAATCACATCTTCCATTCCGCCTAAAAGCACTCAGAATTAGATGCCAATGTAAGAATAGGAAAAAAAACGTGGTATATAAAAAAATGCATAATTTTTATCACTTGCGTCACACAATCACACACAAAAATCACACGTTAAGATTCGAAAACCATTGACAACTAAATGACCTTTATATTATAAAGATGGAATGGCTTGCCATTAAGATCCATGTTCAACACCAAACTTACCAGCGGTCTTGATCCTGAGCCGGGTCCTCGGCCTGGTGGCCGGTCGTGGCTGCTTCATCGAACTCGAGTCCTTACTCTCCTCGCTCGAATCATCGTCATCTAAACAAAGAAAAATGTTTTTGCATGCCTTAAGCGCGAAGCGCGCAGGTATGTTCTGCTAGGACCTAAATTGTTATTATAAATTCAATGTCGAGTACCTACATTGAATTTATAATAATAATGTTTATTTCATTATTATTACGTAGACCAGAGTGCCTTCTCACGAGATGGATTTGCAGGTAGTCAATGGATGCTAGCGTCGCAGGACCGTGTTTTGTTGCGTTGCTTGGGGGTGTCTTACGTTAAGCAGTGGATTTGATGCTTGATGCATGACGATGATAAATATCCTTTAGACTTTAATGGCTTTCGAAAAATAGTGATATAACCATTTCGTTCAAACCAGAGGTTTTAAACTCCCAAACTGGCCATGGCCTAAAGCACGAACGGCCAAAGTTGCTCACGTTTGGTACTGCGAACGTAAATCCGCCAGTTTAATTATATTTTACTTTATTTTCTAATTCGGGAGTCAGGAGCTTCAAAAATATTGTAACAACTTTTTTTACAGAATAAGGGTGACAAACGAGCACACAATCCACCAGATGGTAAGTGGATGCTGTGGCCCATAGACATCTACATCTATCTTCGATAAAGAATCAAAATGCAGATGCGTTGTCACCCGTGAGGACTAAGATGGAATGCCTCGTTTCCAGTAAAGAGGGTCTCCGGTTCTCTATACTCACCATACGAAACACTGCATGTGTTTCGCTGCTATTTTACGCTGGTATTCTGTGATACTTTACGAACCAACACATTGGTGCTACAACCGTAATATACCTGCAGCTTGGCTCTACCACGTATAACTTTTATGTAAATAATGATTATTATTATTATATAGACCAAGGGTGTCAAACGAGCACACAGTCCACCTGATGGTAAGTGAATGCTGTGGCCCATAGATCTACATATATCCTCGATTAAGAATCAAAATGCAGATGCGTCGTTACCTTTAGGACAGAGATGCAATGCCTACTTTCCAGAAAAGGGTTCTCCCGGTTCTCTACATTTACCATACGAAACACAAAACCGTTAAGCTATTTTACGCTGGTATTTTGTGAGTCATATAAAAAACATGATCATCATCACAACTCTTCACAATTCCACAGCTGAACATGGGCCTCCTTTAACGAATGCCACAAAGCACGGACCTAAGCCACCTACTTTGATCGACTTCCTGCATGTCTTACCAGGTCGACTTTCCATATAGTACGAAGTCGCTACACTTCGCTTACCTATACGAGGCTGTCTCTCGATAACCTTTTTTCACTAACGGTGGTCAGTTCTTCGAGCTATATGACTTACTGATCGCTTAGATAGACTGCCGCGTTGATCTAGTGGCCGTAAGCGCGATTTGTGATCATAAAGTCTCTACTTCAAATCTTGGGTGGGGCGCAAATCAGTTATTAAGTTTTTCTACCAAGAAATTCTCATCAACAGCCCGAAGTGGGGAAGTAGGCGGTGTTTTTTTTTTATAGGATAGGGTTACAAAAGAGCACACAGTCCACCTGATGTTAAGTGGTTGCTGTGACCCATAGACATCTAGGTATATCTATCCTCAACAAAGAATCAAAATGCAGATGCGTTGTCACCCGTGAGGACTAAGATGGAATGCCTCTTTTCCAGTAAAAAGGGTCTCCGGTTCTCTAGACTCACCATACGAAACACAGCAGTGTTAAGCTACTATTTTACGCTGGTATTCTGTGAAAGCGTAGTCCTTCCCCGGTCGAGCCGAAAAGCACGTAAAGCTTTGGTCTTGCGCCTGATTTCGCTCAGGTCGTGTCCGATTACCGTCCCCTCGGACTATGAGAGTGAGGGAATAGAGAACGCACTTGTGCTTGCACATACACTCGTGCACTGTAATCCTGTCCCGCGATGGCTAGTCTCCGTTGAGACTGGATGCCGTGACCGAAATTCGGTCTGGAGTACATACAAATGGACAGTTGCATACCCGATTCGCTGAGTTTCCCGAGTACATCCTCCGTCTCGTACTTGTGTATGAGCTGCATTATGGCCGCCTGTTGCTCTTCTGCGGCCTGCGAATACATGACAAATACGTAAACACTGCTGAAACTGTCATATCATTAAAATAAAATAGAACATAACAGAAGAACATCAATATTTCCTGTTATGTAATAAGGAAGTTTTTTTTTATAAGATAACGAACGTTTGTTAACGAGCACACAGCCAACCTGATGGTAAGCGGTTGCTGAGACCCATAGACATCTACATCTATGCTCGTTTGCGAATCAAAATGCAGATGCGTTGTCACCCGTGAGGACTAAGATGGAATGCCTCTTTTCCAGTAAAAAGGGTCGCCGGTTCTCTACACTCACCATACGAAACACAGTAGCGTTAAGCTGCTAATTTACGCTAGTACTCTGTGAGAGCGTGATCCTTCCCCGGTCGAGCCGACCCATTCGTGTTATAAATATACTACTAATATAGCTGCAGCATGGCTCTACCGCTTCATAGGAGGGATATTTACCATAGTTGCCACACGTGGCAAGCGGGTGGCAAACCGCAGTTTTTTTTATTTTTGATTAGGAAGAAGCTGCTGCCCATCTCCTGATTTGTTTCCCTCTGACGGCTTTTACGACACATACGAAACGATATAGAATAGTGGAAATTTTTACATCGTAAGCCACTACACGGTAAATCGGCTAGCCGGCGAATAAAATTCAAAATAAAACATTCAACAGTGTTAAGTCACTAAACTCAATCAATAGCACGAAAACGCCTTTCATTATTACATATAATCTCTAAATAATTTCAAAATTTACCATGAGTTAAGAGAATCAATTTGCCAAAGGTGATATGAGACAATATATCTCCATAGACAATAAGTCAAATTTACGACTAATAGATTTTAAAATGTTAATTGGCGTACCTCGGCTTGAGCCCTTTCAAGCAAGCTGAGTTGATGCTTGAGCGACTCCACGCAGCGGTACCGCAGTACATACTGGTCCCATAGCTCTTCAATCTCCTTCTCCAGCACTGTCAGTTCCGCTTGGTAAGCTGGTCTAATCACAAAAAAAAACAAAGTATTAAGAAGTAAATAACAACCATCGGTTTCCACACTTTCATGCATTCTTGTTATAGGGTGCATTTCATGATCTACTGAAGAGTTTTACTGCGCTCGTGAAGTTACTTACTATGTAAATTTTTATACGTGGTAGAGTCATGCTGCAGCTATATTAATAGTATAGTTGTAGCACGAATGGGTCAGCTCGACTGGGGAATGACCACGCTCTCACAGAATACTAGCGTAAAATAGCAGCTTAACACTGCTGTGTTTCGTATGGTAAGGGTAAAGAACCGGAGACCCTTTTCACTGGAAACGAGGCATTCCATCTTAGTTCTGAGGGGTGACAACGCATCTGCATTTTGAATCTTAATCGAGGATAGATGTAGATGTTTATGGGCCACAACAACCACTTATCATCTGGTGGACTGTGCGCTCGTTTGTCACCCTTATCCTATAAAAAAAAACTATAATTAGCTGCTATTTCACGCTGGTAGTATACGCTGTGAGAGCGTGGTGCCCCCGGTTGAGACGAGCCATTCGTGCTACAACCATATTATAGCTGCAGCATGGCTCTACCACGTAAACTGTATGAGTGTACGCACTTGATCTTCTGGACGGCGAGCAGTCGTTTCTCTGCACGCTGCAACTCGGCGGCTCGACGCTCTAGCTTGGCGTCGAGCGCCGCCTCACTGGCCGCCACGCCGCCCGCCTGCTCGCGCACCTCGTGCACGCGCGCGCCCACGCCGGACACCGCGCGCCGCAGACACGCCTCTAGCGACACCACGTCCAGCGGACGCGACAGCGCCTGCTCTCGCTGCTCCTGATTCCAAAGGATATTTTTTATAGTGAAGGGGTGACAAAAGAACACACAGTCCGCCTGATAGTAATACAGATTTGCTTAAATGATAAGACGAGCACGACAAGCAAATACAATTAACGTGAATAACAACGTGTTTGTTGCTTTTTTGTGTATTTTACAAAAAATATCTAATCTTACTGTCGTGCACTGTATAAAACTGTATCTGTTACAAAAATAAGACATATGTGTCGTCGCAGGTAGCTACTAGCTCTATCTAGCGACAGTTTTCCAAACTAAGGAAAGGAAACCGTTGTAAGAAGCCGGATGAAAGTAGCCTTATAAATCTTGCTGTTTGTTACTTTCACAATTTACTATCAGACAAAATAACTGCATTTTTAGAACATCTTAATTCTATAAACTCTAAAATTCAATTTACTACGGAGTTAGAGGCAAATAATTCTTTAGCTTTCCTAAATGGGTTAGTCATCCGAAATCCTAACAACATCATATGTCACACTGTGTATAGAAAAAAGACCCATACAAAACGATATTTAAATATGATTCCACCATCATCGTTCACAGTTAGCTACTGTGGGCAAATCTTTGTTGCAGAGAGCACGAGGAATCTGTGACAGCAAACACCTGGCCGCTGAGCTTCAGCACGTCAAGCAGGTTCTGCACGACAACAAGCTTCGGGTTCCGCGCCTACGTCACAGTGACCAAGTGAAGCCGGCCACAGTCGAGCGTGTGCCTTCTGTACTACCATATATCAGAGGTGTCACAGACAAGATTAGCTACATTTTGAAGCGAGCTTCTATTAGAACATTCTTCAAGCCACCGAAAAATATTAGCCATTTCTTACCATCCATCAAGTGCAATATCCCTCTACAAGAAGCAGGAGTGTACAAGCTTGATTGTGAATGTGGTCTCTCATATATAGGGCAAACAAAACGATCTATCAAAACCCGCGTAAAAGAACACATAGCTGACGTGAAACACCAACGTTCCGGGAAGTCTTCAGTTTGTGATCATATCCTAGACGGCCCCCGCCATTACATTAGATTTGATAAACCACAAATTCTCGCGAAAGGACATCGATTCCTGCCAAGGATGATACGTGAGGCTATTGAAATTAAAAAAAAACACATCCTAATTTCAATAGAGACAGCTACCACCTGCTTGGGATCCTGTAATTAATAAAATTAAATTAAAACTAAACCCAAGCGTATCGCTGCAAAACTTCAAGACACAGTAAGTTCCAAACTAATAATTTAAAAATATCTGAAGGTACTCCGGATTAACTTTGACATCGGGATATCAATCACCTCAGTCCCCCGTGACCGTAGATGCTGTAAAGCACCCGAAACGTCGGCAATTTAATAAAAATAAGTTAATTAAACGCGATAGAATCCGTAAAAGTAGTTTTATTCAATTAAATAGTTAAAATTAAATAAATGCTTCATTAAAGGAGTCACCGAAGGCCCCGTTACTGAATGTTATGAGATCTGTTTTTGTACATAATATGTTGCTGTATTAGTGACCTTAATATATGGTAGTAAAAGTTGGGTGTGGCAGAAGAAGCAGGAGAGTAGAATAAATTCTCTAGAAATTAGGTCATTCAGAAGTATAAAATGTTAGGGCTGAATCTGAACGACAAGGTAAGAAATTGTGACATAAGAGAAAAGTGTGGTATGCAAGATAATGTTGTGGCCACAATTAAGAAAGGAATGCTTTCGTGGTTTAATCATGTAGAAAGAATGAACAGGGAAAGAATGACAAAGCAAAATGTTGCAGAAGTGAACGGCAGGCTCGGGAAGGGACGCCCTAGGCGAAAGTTTATCGACCAAGATAAGCGTCAGATTAAAAGTACCCTTAACCGACGAGCATGTGTGCGTAGGTTTAAGGATGTGAAGGAGGCGAGAGAGGTGTGTCAGGATCGTGCCAAATAGAAGTCCGTAGTCTCTGCCAACCCCTCTGGGTGACAGGCGTGAGTATTTTATGTTTTATGGTCGTAAATAAAATAAGTTAAATTGCATGCAAAATAGATAATTTCAATTTAATTATAGCTTGAGGTAAATTAGTTACCTTGTTATTAGCTTCTTTGGCCAAGAGATCGTAGAGAAACGCTCCCTGTGCTGTGATCTCCGTCGCTAGGGACCTCGCTTGCTTGATCTCTCCGATCTGTCAATGTTTAATTTTTTATTACATGGACCAAAATAAGTCCATAATTTCTTTTTGATAAATTAATTTCAACCAAATGATTATGAATTTATGAAAAAAAAATATAAAATATGCCCATAACATTATGAATGTTTGTTTGGTTGTATGTTTGCGGCTCAATCAAGTTAAAACTACTGAACGGACTGACAGATGCTGGCAACTTATTATTAGTTAGTATAAACTGTTCATATGCCAGTAAGACGAAACATGCTTGCACTTATATTTTTTTATCTTTAACAATAATATTACAATAGTATTACTTATGTTTATGAATGAATAACTGAATTATGAATTATGCTAAAAATATCGTTTGCCATATGAAGGCGGCGCGGCGCGACTTTAGAAAATTCATTGCCAATTTCGTCACTTGGGTACCGTAACGTAACATGAGTTTATGGAAAATGAAAGAGAAGAAAGAAAAAGATATTATCGCTATCGACAGGGAGATCAGGCCACCTCTCCTACCCATAGATCGCTTTTGATCATTTTTTTAAATTTATATTTTCTTTTTAACCCCTTTTTTTGAGACCCTTTTTACTGGAAAAAAGGCATTCCATCTTTGTCCTCACGGGTGACAACGCATCTGCATTTTGATTCGCAAACGAGGATAAATGTAGATGTCTATGGGCCACAGCAACCACTTACCATCAGGTGAACTGTGTGCTCGTTTGTCACCCTATCCTATAAAAAATAAAAAACCATTTTTTTTAAGTTTAAGCTTTTTTAAATAAAGTTATTTTTAAATAAAATGCATACATTTTTTATCGGTGGTAGGTGTACCTAATGTAGTGTAGTTACAGCTTATAAACACGACACACGGATTTAGGTCAAAGAAATGTATAATGCGTGTTGGCGAACTTCACATATCTTCAATTTTTTTTGTACCTATTTCTCAGACATGCAGGTTTCCTCACGATATTTTCCTTCACTTCCGAGCACGTAGCAAATCAGCGCTTTAAATTACAATTAACAATTTTATTGGTGCCGGCGGGGATCGAACCCGGGTTGCTCACGTACTGTGAAGCTAACAGCGAACGCTAACCATCAGAGCTACCACGTCTCTGTATGTAGTGTAACCACAACCACAATTTACATAATATATTAATGTTAAGTGTAGAATAAAAAAGTAGTCTAATTAAAGATGACCAACATTACAGATGAAGAAATAACCTTGTCGTTTACCTCATAAATATAATATATCTAGACCGACGATGAGGAGTGGATCACCTCTACAACGAGCTAAACCCATTTCCAACAATGAATTTTTAAGAAGAAGAACTTACCCTGCTACTGACATCATACGAGAGAGTGCCGGTGTCTGCGCGGAGGTCGTCAGGAGGCGGCGACTCGAGCGCCGCGCGTAAGTACGTGGCAACTTTCAGCAACTCCCGTACCGCCCAGCCGTCCGCACCGTACAATCGTTTTCCATTCAGCTTCAAATTAGCTCGAGAGTGCTGAGTGGAATAATGAAATGTCTTTTTAAGTCCACTGCTGGACGAAGGCTATTATATAAAAATTGCACAATTTAACAAGCAATACTTGTCTATTCATCACACTGATTTTGAGACAAATAAACATTTTCATATATTTTTTACTGATGTTAATGATTAAAGTTAGGGTGATAAAAGAGCACATAGTTCACATGTTTGGTAATGAACACTGTGGTCTTTTAATATATCATGACATAAATTCTCACGACTTAACAGTGGGTAACCCCAGTGGGAGAGACTACAGACTTCCATTTGGCACGATCCTGACACACCTCTCTCACTTCTTTCACATCGATAAACTTACGCATATATACTCTATGGTTAATGGTACTTTTAATTTGTCCCATCTTACTACAAAAATGATACAACTTCCTACTAAAATATTACCATCATTCTTATAACAACTTATAACAAGTTAGTTCACGTAACACAACTTATACAGTATCTTGAAAGTTTCAAATAAGAACTTGTGTTAATTAATAGGGGTCGATTTTTAGACCTCGTCGACAGTCAAAATCAGTTTTGCGTTTATGTCGACACCTGGGAAACCGATTTCGACCCCAGTGTATATCGACCACTTTGGGAATCCCTGCTCTATACCCTTCTGATCGGAACACAACAGTGCAAGCACTGTTATTTAACGGCAAAAATAGATAAAAGAGTGCTACCTACCCAGACGGACTCCTGCTTACATTGGTAGAGGTCAATGTCCAGCAACGGACCTTTAACGGAAAATCTTGAAGAAGAACAGTTGATAAAACTGTACTTCAAATCTTTTGCATGACGAATCACTTAAGATTTCACTCGCAACGTGCCCCGAGAAATACAGTTACAAAAGTACCAAATGAGTTAACACGCACAAACAACTCTAAGGCATGCGACACGAGAGCCACTCGACCCTCGAGGGAATCTCCACTGCCGGTCAACTGAACGTCGGGCTCCACCCTCGCCGCTAGCCACCGTACGCAGGTCTCCAGCAAAGACCAATTGGGCACCCTGAAGCTCTCCATAGATATCTGCTGCGGGAAATCCAGTACGCGCATCGCTTCGATAAAATCTGTAATGAAATTATCGTAATATTTTAACTTATTATAAGCCAATGCTTGACGACAATCACACCTTGTGGTAAGTCGTGATAAAGCCATAGATGGCAAATCGCACTGTCTTATCGTAACAAAAGCCTATTCACTCTTGCCTTGAAGATGCCCAGATTGTATTTGGACGGAAAGATAGACGCCGGTAAATTATTCCACTCCTTTGCTGTACGCATTACAAAAGACAAAGCAAACCGTTTAGTTCTAATGCGTGGAATATCGACAACGAAGGAGTGAAGAGCCGCCGACCGCCTGGTTGTCCGATGGTAGAAAGGAGAGGAAGGTAATAAGACATTTTAAATGGGATAAATGAACTTATATTCCACTTGGTGGTAAGTGGCTCCTGCAGTCCATGGACACCTGCAGCCATCTTCAAACGAAGAAGACAACAGGCGCGGTGTCCTCTGAGGGCTATGATGGAATGCCCCACGGCCTGTATTTGTACTGGTTCGGAACACAGCAATGCAAGAACTGCTATTTAATGACAGAAATATTCTATAAAAAGAACTATTAGGAATCCCTACCACCTAGAATAGAAAATGTGTCTAACATATTGTGAAATTGTGTTCATATAATCTATACCAGGGTTTCCCAACCTTATTTTGACCAGGGACCTTGATTTTTTTGTAGTTAGCAGGGACCATAAGGTGAAAGAAAAAACGTATACTGTATACATACAGTATACATACTGACATGACCATAAACTGACAATATAATTCTAGGAGTATTTATCACAACCCTTTTTTACTATACGTAATAAGGTAAACAATAATTCGGAATAGTTCAGCAGTCAGTATACACGTGGCTTAATAGTTACAATTTAGTAACAATTACAGCGATTTCGTTACTTTTTTCGTAACTACATTTTCGATACGTACAATTATTTTGAAAAACATCCATGTATGTACGTAAGTATATCTATATCTTTGGCACGCTCTGTAGCCTAAACGGCTTTATGGATTTTAACATATGAGATGTCGTTAAATTATGTCTTAATTAATTAAATTTAAAGTTAAATTTAAATTTAAATTACTACTTAAAACAGCGTATATGCGTTTGCTCAGGTCCTAATTAGGCTGTAATGTTTCCTTTTTACAAACTATATTAATTATACTTAATGTAACGTCGACTCTGGTCGCGTCATCACAAACCTTAGTGGTTTTCTGTATGCGACTTTTTAGTATCGTTTTTATTTTTGTAATGCTTTGTAAGCGACATACTATGCTATTTACATATTTCATTTGAAAATATACGAAAAATTGAGGGGAAGGTTTTTTACGCATACGGGTTTTTTAAATTGTTGTTTAACCATATTGCTTGTTAATTTCACAAGAAACACTTACTTCTTAGATCTCTATAAGACATTTTAAATATTTGTAACAATTCTTAACGACTTTAAAACACAAATCCACAAGTTTACACTAGTACAAATGGTGTATTTTTGTTTATTAACAACGTTGCTATGGCAACATATAGATACAATATGGGTCAAAGACACAACCTCTATAATATATGGACTGGCTATAACCGTGACATAATGAGGCGATTTGATTTTCGCCATTTTGGCGCTGGAAGCAGAAGTGAACGTCCACGGAACTAATAATAGAGATAAGACAGTGTGAAAAATTATATGGATGAGAATTCGATACCCAGGCCTACTCGTAACATCCGTTCTATCCATGTATCATATTAATATAATGCCATACAATAAATGTATGTATCAATTAATACTTAGGCCTTAGACGCAACCTTTATACTTCATATAAAACAAGAATCGACGCTGCGTTGATCTATCGACGTTTTTATTCGTAACTACAGAACGGATTTTGTTCCGGGTTTCAAAGGAGAAAATGCCTACGCATACCTGCATTGCGGGGGCAAGAACGGATTATATCGGACTTGCAGCTACTAAAACCCCATGATTTTCCACCTTCACCACACATTGATAAAGCCACGGAAAAGCTTTCAACCACATCCGCGGCCCCACCAACGAGGACCCCTCCTTAGTTGAGGACTTCCCTCCCCGAATTCCCGAGCCTGATATGTGGAGGCCATGCAGCCAAAAAAAGACGAGCACTCGGAAGCACCAAGTGGTACAGTCCCGCCAAAGTCGCGGAGGATAGTCGAGTGGTCCGAGGTGGTGTCGCATGGGAAGAGTATTGTTGTTAATGCTGTTCCCTTGCGACACCACTTCGGCTGCAGCGATATAGAGAGACAACTCTCCTCTAGCCGCAGCTCACTAACACACATCCAAAGGCTCGACAAGCCCACTCAGAGTAGCCACCTTGGACCAGCCCTTCACTTCGGGCCAGCCATGTGATTCGCCCTACATTTACCATGAGTTACCAAGCCACGGCTACTGACCTTCTCCCCCGCCACGACAAGGTGGAAATCCGTTCAGGGAGGAGTTATTTCTCACCTAAACTCACGCAAACTCACTAAGGACATTAATAATTTTGCAGTTCCAATATAAATTTATTCCCTTGATAAAATAAATTGGTCGTACTATGGCCCTTGAGTCTGAGGGAAAACAAGGAGAGAAGAAATAAAAAACATTCAAAATAATAATCTAATATTTTTATACTGGGTACTGGTATTACTAGAAAATGTTGTGGGTATACTCCACTTTTTCAAAGTGGTCCGTTCCTCATGTCTAATAAAACAGTCGTCTGTGAAGTGTTTAGGAGAAAGATAATCATCTTGTTTCGGACGCCAATTTTCAGCCATAATTTTAGTCAGGTTCTAGTTCTAGGTAGGTTGGTTGTTAACAGATATGGGTAGAAAAGAACATCGATAAGTATTATAGACAAGGAACACAACAATCCTATTGAAATTTATTGTTTATCAAAACTCAGTAATATAAAGACAAACATGTTGGTGATTACGATATTAAGATTAGAAGCAAATTTTTAAGTACCTATATTATCAAATAGTTTTAATTTGCTCAATATTAGCTGCAATCTCACTTGTGGAATGTTATCCCACTTTCCTTTTGGTAACGAGTTATATGTAATTATTTCGAACGATTTTTTCGACTTTTCGGACGTTTTCTTCGGTCAGTACTGTGATAGGGCGGCCCGAGCGAGGGTCGTATTCACAGCTCACTCGTCTTTGTTGAAATATGCGGGCCCATTTTTCCACCATCGTATTTGAAGGCGCAGAATCCTAAGGAACCGATGACATCTCTTCAAAAATGTATATCGGTGTATTTCCAGATTCGGCTGACATGGTGATATTTGTTGTTCAGTAAATAATTGAACTATGAGTGCAACTTAATTAGTTATTGCTTTTATAATACTACTGAATGTTGCAACTAGTGATATGAGTAACAAGCAAATTACTCATCGTTAAGTACCCTTAGGCCGCGAACTTTTCAGCCGGCCTAGTAGGTCTGTGGTTATTTTAGTCTTCACAGATACCTTAAGGGGGATGTTCCGCTAGCCTGCCCATACATTTTTGTTTTGACATATACTTTAAACACAGACACTATTTATTTAAAACTAATCATTTTATCACTTTTCTTCAGTGAAATGTGCCCGCGATTGACCTTATTAGGAAATAACTTACAGTATTTATTAAGAAAAACAATAACGAATTTTAGGAAAATTTTGACACTTCTTTAGTAGTGTGAGTGAATTTTGAAAACTTGACAAGCAAAAGTGCCAAAAACACAGTTTAAACATTGGCACGCTAGATGGCGATATTACTGTGCGAGAAATACCATTATTCATAGGTAGATATTAAGCAACGATACCGTACTTCCTAACCTTGAACTAGATGCACTACGTTAAAAGAAGAAAAAGCGATGCCAAACTTCGTTCTCTTGCTTGACTGTAATAAAATTTAAACATTCTAAAGTAATTCTCGATTGTCAAGGGACAGGATTTGCGCGCGGAATTCCTTGCGATTTATATTATATTTTTGTATGATTTTCATTGATTCCATTTGCAATATTTCTAGTATGTATTTGATTCCAATATAATACAATATATTGTAATTTATTGTAGGTATAGTAATCTCTAGAGCCATGCATTCCTCCAAAACCCAATATACGGTGTTAATGGGAGACTTCAATGCAAAACTAGGCACAAGAGAGAACGGTGAGCTGAAAGTAGGGAAATTTGGAATAGGGCAACGGAACCCAAGGGGCCAGCAGCTGGCCGACTTCATGGAGAAAGAGGGACTCTTTATGATGAACTCTTTCTTCCAGAAGCGGCCCCACAGGAAGTGGACCTGGTCGAGCCTCGACGGTTCCACAAAAAAATGAGATTGACTTCATTATGACGACCAGACGACAACTGTTCAGTGATGTCTCCGTGATCGCGAGGGTGAAAACTGGTAGCGATCACCGAATGGTTAGAGGCACACTGAACCTAAACGTTAAGTTGGAGAGGTCTCGTCTAATGAAGTCAACGCTCCGTCCCCCTCGTGCTCTGTTCCAAAGTCCTGAAACCTTTCAGCTCGAGTTACAAAACCGTTTTCAGTGCCTGGAAGACTGCAATGAAGTGGACGATATGAATGACAAGCTCGTGGAAACTGTCCATGCGGTTGGAGCTAAGTTCTGCAAGACCCGCCGCAGAAGAACACAAAAACTCTCCGATCACACTCTTAATCTCATGGCTGTTAGACGGGAGATGAAGCTACATTCTTCAACAGACTTGACAGCATACAGGCATCTGAACAGACAGATCTCCAAATGCACGCGGCGGGACTTACGCAACTTCAATACAGCTCGTATTGAAGAAGCGATCGAGCGGAACCAAGGCTCCAAAGTCTTTGCCAGAGATCTGTCTGCCAGAAAGAGCCAACTGTCAAAGCTGAAGACAGAGTGTGGCAGCATCGTTTCCGGGACGCCTGAGATTTTGAGTGAGATTGAGAGGCTCTATGGGCAGCTGTACACATCATCGTTGGAGCCACACGCAAGTGTGAGTAACGATCCAAGAGCGAGTCTCATCCGACACTATTCCGAAGATATCCCAGATGTCAGTCTGAGCGAGATTAGGATGGCTCTCCAGCACCTTAAAAACGGTAAGGCCCCAGGCGAGGATGGAATTACAGCGGAGCTTCTGAAAGCGGGTGGAAGACCGGTACTTGAAGTCCTTCAGAAGCTCTTTAATTCCGTCCTCCATGGTGGCATTACACCGGAGGCGTGGAGCAGAAGTGCGGTGGTCTTGTTCTTCAAGAAAGGTGACAACGCGCTCTTGAAGAACTACAGACCGATTTCCCTTCTGAGCCGCGTCTACGTGCTGTTTTCGAGAGTCATTACGAATCGTCTCGCGCGCAGACTTGACGACTTCCAGCCTCCCGAACAAGCCGGTTTCCGAAAGGGCTTTAGCACCATAGACCACATACATACCCTTCGGCAAGTTGTACAGAAGTCCGAAGAGTACAATTTGCCACTATGTCTGGCGTGTGTGGACTATGAGAAAGCCTTTGATTCCGTCGAAATTTGGGCGGTGCTGCAGTCCCTTCAGCGGTGCCAAGTTGACTGTCGGTATATCGAAGTGTTGAAGTGCTTGTACAGTAGGGCTACGATGGCTATCCGAGTACAGAACCAGAGTACGAAACCTATCCAATTGCAGAGAGGTGTAAGACAGGGTGACGTCATATCCCCGAAACTCTTCACCGCTGCATTGGAAGACGTTTTCAAGCTTCTGGACTGGAAAGGATACGGTATCAACATCAATGGCGAGTACATCACTCACCTTCGATTTGCCGACGATATAGTCCTTATGGCAGAATCGCTGGAGGACCTAAGCACTATGCTCAATGACCTCAATAGTGTTTCCCAACGGATAGGTCTTAAGATGAACATGGACAAAACTAAGATCATGTTTAATGTCCATGTCACACCTATGCCGGTAGTTGTTGGGAACACTAAGCTCGAAGTTGTTGACGAGTATGTTTACCTGGGACAAATAGTCCGACTGGGTAAGTCCAACTTCGACCGAGAGGTCAATCGACGGATTCAACTCGGCTGGGCAGCGTTCGGGAAGCTACGACACATCTTCTCGTCAGACATACCTCAAAACCTTAAAACGAAATTGTACAACCAGTGCGTGTTGCCAGTGATGACTTACGGAACTGAGACGTGGTCCTTCACTGCTGGCCGTATGAGGAAGCTCAAGGTCGCTCAGCGAGCTATGGAGAGGGCTATGCTCGGAGTTTCTCTGCGTGATAAACTTAGGAATGAGGATATCTGCAGTAGAACCAGAGTGACCGACATAGCCCAACGGATTAGTAAGCTGAAGTGGCAGTGGGCCGGCCATATAGCTCGAAGAACCGACAACCGATGGGGAAGAAAGGTTCTCGAGTGGCAGCCTCGTACCGGTAGGCGAAGTGTAGGGCGTCCCCCCACGAGATGG